GGGAAAGATCGCCTCCCGGGGGGCGGCCGCCACCACTCCCCCCCCCCCCCAAACTGGCTACAATACAGGGCGCCAACCTCCCCTGTGCGACTTCACAACGAGGCCAAATGGCTAAGGACGTATCATTATGGTAAAGATATTGGTATCACTAGAATGATGATTTGAAAATTAAAAATCTTGTTTACCTTGATGCTCCTTAGTTTAAGGCGCCCGTGTTCCACGTGAAAGAACGTGTCCTCCTGTTCGATAAGCGTACCGACCTTGTCGGACAAAATTTGCGCCCTTTTTTTGAGCGAATCTAGGTCACTAACTCTCGCTTTAATCTCTACGTTTCGTGGCATGGTTCTTTGCTCTAAAAAAATAAAAATAAATAATAATCATAGAAATAATTTTTGCTAATTATCATCATCATCATTCTGATCAAGTAGCCCTTTGGGCCTTTTTCCAGGGCCGTGAAGAGGCCGAGGCAACCGAGTAAATCACATGGGGGCCCCTCTGGCTTGCAGCCCCTAGGAAAGTTTAAACTTGTGCAGTTCTTAGTTATTCTAATTTATGTTATTAATAACATGATGTGGAAGCTGCGACTGAAGTAAAGTTAATACATATCTGACCTTGATAGAGCATGGACTCACAACAAGAAAATATCTGAAAGAAAAAAGTATTTTTGTTGTTTTTGCTTTTTTCCATTCTTCTAAATTAATACATACTTTTAAAAATATTTTTTTTAAAAATAAACAATTAATTTATTTAATGTGCGGACTGGAAATGATCTTCTTGTCTTAAAATTCTTGTTGAAAAAAAAAAAGAATTTGTTAACATAAAAATGGAAAAAGTGAAAGTTGGTATAAAATGTATCTTACGCTACATCCCCTAAAATGCACTAAATGTCAAAGCTAATTCGTTCAAAGCTAATTTAGTCTCTCACACATTCCAGGGCAGCATGTAAAATACGCAAATGGTCACAGAGGCTTGTATGAGCCAAGAGGGGACAAGCAAAAATGTTACTAAAAAAAGAGAATGTTAAGATTGGACTTTTCAGCCAAGCAAAGGAAGGGGATCTAGCTGTTGGCCTGCTTTAGGAACACCAACAAAAGTAACTTTAAGTTATTTTTTAAAATTGTTTGTACAAAGACTAAATCTGAAATTTTTAAAACTGGGTAAAATCAGATGAAATTATAATACAATTTTTAATGATAGAATTGCTCATTACGCCATTGTTTTCACCCGCTGTCAAATGTGGTGGGCCTACTTAGGGGAGACAGGACGCCGACTCTGTGAATGCATCCGTAATATTATGCAAGATAAACAGTGTCCCGTCTCTAACACTTCAATAGAAGTAACCACACGGGGGCTGCGGAGTTTACAATTAGATTTTAAATGACATGATCTTAAATGTACGTATCATTGATGTGATCTGGAGCAGCGTTCCCCAAACGGTAGTCCGTGGACAGGCACCAGTCCGCGAGCCTTACGTTACCGGTCGGGAGAGCATGAATATTGATGTTTAAATAGAAAGAAAATGTAATTAATAAATCCTGCACCGGTCCCTGGTGCAATTTCGAAACTTGTCCACCGGTCCGTGAAACTTAAAAGTTTGGGAAACGCTGATCTAGAGTAGTGGTGGCATCTTGGGAATATCCAGACAAACACATTATAGAATTATTGTGAGAAAAGAATGAAGTAGGGGGAAAAAAAACAAAGTCGAGAAATTTTCCTAGGGACGTTAGGCCTAATCATCATCATAAGGCGTGTTGTTTTTTTTTTCACCTTGATACAGTAGGTTTGAAAGGAAATTAAAATGTATAAGGTATAAGTGATAACTGGTCAGTCAGAGATTACCAGTCCAAATTTAGGCCAACTAATAATGTTTTTAAAGGGCTTTATTGTGGAGGGGAATGAGATTCACCTATTCCTGTTCTTATAAAATTAAATATTCTCATCTTTATTTTGGCCTGCAAGGAGTGATGTAAAATCTGGGTTGCTAACTCAATAAATAAAAATTTACAAAATAATATTTTTAAGTTCAAATTTTTTACGGACAAACATTTGTTGAAAAATTTTTTTACGGAGACCTTTAAAAGGACTTAGGCAGGAACGATTTCTGTGGTGTTTTTTTAAAGCACATCCTCAGTTCATCAAGTTAAGCCATTTTATGACAATTTTTTACGGACTGTCCGTAAATTTACAGACTTTTGGCAACGCTGTGTCAAATTACTATTTTAAATTGGCATCGCTTTTTTTTAAAATTAATCATGCAATGATATAATATACATAATACGGTAGTTTAATAAAGTAATGATATATTATTATTAACTTTTTTCTACTAAATTCTACAAAGTTATATTTCTACCGTTTAAATTTTATTTGTTTAAAATCTGTCCTTATTTCATATTTTATCCCATTAATGGTCATAAAACTTAAACCACAAAGAAAAATGAATATTGATAATTGATCAGCGGTTAGAGGAAAAAAAGAATGGTGAGATTGAATGATTGAGTTTGAGATTATGAGATGGCTTGAATTTGAAAAAAAAAATAAACCAAAAAAGAACAATATCAAAAAGAATGAAAAATTACTTAAAATATTAATGAACATTACTATTTTTAAAAAAATTCCATACTCGTTATAAGTTATTGACCCATTAATTACTGCTTTTAAGGTTGTAAATTCAGTTTCAGGATTTCCAGATGCAAAAAGGATCTCGAGTCTTGATTAGGGCATGGTATATTGTATCAATACACAACACAAAGCCTAGAATTGAAATAATTATTATGAAAGGCCATTTTCATGCGAATTTAAAATACTGTTGTTAAACCCATAAAAAATTCAAAAACCCATTAAAATAATGATTTATTTTTAATATTATTAAAAACATAAATTATATATCTATATTGATTTTTATAAAGATAATTGGGCGAACTATTTGACGCTGCGGTTTAGTTTTTATTTGTTTTGGATTGTTAGGCGGTTCTAAAAAAAAACTATGATCAAAAAGATCTCGCTCAGGTATATTGATAAGTATCAATACTTATGTATTTCAGGCTATTAAATGTATTTTTGTTGCCATGGATACGTTTTGTTTTAAAGTGTGCATGGCTTAAGAACGTTTGTTTTATACTTGTCATGACAAAATACGTGTAATTGTATTTAAGAATCAAGAAATTAACCTGTGTTTCGAGTTCTCAGAGGCGAATATTTCATTCAAATATTCCGGCACACTTGACCTAGTTGAAATTTTAAGAATTGCATCCTATTTCTAACTTACTTTAATACACAATAAATTAATTTTGTTAAACAAATATTATTATTATACTCTTAAGAGTCTAGATTTTATTTCACGTAACGAAATAAACAGGAAGATTAACAGAATAGCCTTCAACTTAATAATTTGTGTTATGGCTACATCAGTTATGCTTTTTAATACCCAGTAAAGGTCAATGGTTATTAGGTCAAGGGTTAAAAGTTTTGGCATAAGAAAAGAAAAGCTTCCTCTGTTGGAACATTAAATTTTGTAAATTTCTCGTTCTAAATTAATCGCTGTCATAATCCGGTTATTCTCTTGAGTGGAGTTCACAGCTTATATCGGCACCTAATGTTATTTGAATAATGCTGTGATAAAATATGCTGGAAAATCTAGTTAGTCATCCTCTTTACTAAAATAAAAAGTAAAGATTACTACTACTCTTATTCTTATTATACTTAACTTAAAATTATAATGATAAATAACACTAGACCTAGACTAAGACGACTAAGAAAAAATTAGCCTAGACTAAGACGACTAAGAAAAAATTGGCCTGACCACCCTACTCACAACTACTCAGACCTACTGTTAATCCCTAGGCCTAGCAGGCTAGGGCCACTACAGTTACAGGACTGAGCTCTGCATAGTGAGTGAGTGAGTGTAGTGTAGTCCTTTCAAAAAAAAAGACCTGCCAGGGCTACAGCACGGTAAAGCTAAATTCAGTAAAAACTTAACCTTAGTCTTAGGCCTAGGCTTATACTTAAGTTAAGTTAATATTATGATTTAATAAGAAAGACTTAACTGAGGGTGAAGTATAAGGACAGGACAATTATATTTACTTTTAATTGGCTATATTATAGATTGGTATTGACTGAGAACACTCTGCTATTGGTCCTGATCCTACTCAAAAGAATCTTAAAAAGTAAAACAGAGACAGAGTAATATTAAAGTAATAAGCTGAATCTGTTAAATATATTACACTCAACTGGGTTGTTACATGGTGAATAGTTTTAACATTTTAAGTAAAGGAAAGGGCACTAGCCCTTAATCAACTTGAATGACTTACTAATGAAAGTTATTAGTTAATGATAATATATTTAAAAATATTTAGGGCTAAGCCTAAGTGGAGTTTAGGCATATTGATATATTTCCAATATTGCACTATACTTTTACCTAAGGTCTACTCTAAAAATCTTACATTTAAGGAATAACATAGTCAGGGAGATGGAGATTAGCAAACTATAGCTATAGTTGTAGCATAACTTAGTTTGTCTTTGTTTAATTAAATTATAGTTATTTATTTCACTAATTTTAGATGACAAATGGCATCTGGGGGTAGTTCTCGGTTTGTCCCTGCAACAGGGATGACTTCAACAGAACTATGTGATTATGATGATCTTTGCACAGCTATGGTGCTTGATCCTTTTCTAGGATTTATGACACATAAGATGAACACGAGGTATGTGGGAAATGAATTTGAAAAAAAAATAATAATTATGGCAAGGATTTTGTTCTGTCAAGACACTAATTCTCAGTATTAATAGCACTTTGTCGATTCTTTTTTTTTTGGTCTTAGGTAACAATAACTTTTTTTTTTTCATTTCAAGGAACAATTAAATGAAGCTTGAGTGTATTACAATTTATTTTCTTTGCAGATTTAGACCTCTGAGTAACCAAGAAGAACTGAAAAAAATTGTTGAAGATTTTAAACAGTCGAGAAAATATGAAGTAACTCTCCAAGCCTTATTTAAAGTTGACTCTGCTCGAACAGCTCCATACTGCAGAACTAAACATCAAATGAAATTGCTAAAAGAACATGTGCGTTATTCAAGTAGATTTCTTGTAGAATACTTAATCCTATCATCAACTGAATGTACAAAGTAGGAATAAGTTTATGTCAAGTTCTTGAACATTTTTGTGAGCCTTAAGATTAAATTTGAAATTTTAATCTTTTCATTTAAATTAAAAATATTCCTGACATTTGAATAAGCCAATTTCATTAATTATTTTACATCACACAATCAAATTGTTAGTCTAATGAGTTTTTCTGCCATCGGACTGAAAAAATTTATTGTGGCAGCTTTAAAAGTCAGTTGAAAAAAAAATTGATGAAAAGGATTTGAAATATAAGACATAAATGTAGTTTTATTTGCCATTTTTTTAAATCATGAACAGAGACTGCTTGCATAAATGTCCATTTTCCCTAAGAAATTTCATGCTTATATGTCCTATGCAATTTTTATATATCAAATATATAATGCAAAGACACTTCTGTAATTATTCATTTCCACCAGATAAGAATTTTATTAAATTAAATTACAAGAGCACAAAAATAAGGATCAACCACAAAGGAAACAATTTTAAAAATTATTTAAATCTTAAACTAAGATAAGCTACATTATTCTGTCCATTCACACACGTTTTGAAAGCCTTTATGTCAGCATACAGTTGGTAATGTGTTAGTAATTTAACTTTTAATTATTATTTAAATGTTTATTAATAAAATAAGCAAACTATTGCTAATCTAATTAATGCATGCTAAATTTCAGACCATCCGATACCTTCAAGTGTTTGATTTCATATCTGGGTTTGAGGTCCTCCCCTGTCACCGCTACTCTATGGAGGGGCAAATAGGTGGGAAGATATGTGCTACAAAACATTGGTAAGACTGAAAATTGCTCCTGCTCCCATTTTATCCTTCCGTCCAAGCAAATGTTACACAAATTAATTAACCCTCTTTGGAATTTAAAAAGTGAGGGAAACACTGTATTTAAAAACGAGTTGTTGGGCATAATATTGAACTACATTATAGTTCAAATTACTCATTAATATATGAGGGACTGTGTACAAGCTGTGTGATGTAAAAAAAAAAAAAATGATATGGTTAGTCTTGAAAATAAAAGTCAGGACAATTATAAAAACAACACTTTCGGAGGAGGACTTTTGAGACAAGGCACTTGATATGATTAACTATTTTCAATGAAGGTTCTACCTAGTACTTTAATCAGCCCTTCAAATGGTTAAAAATATTACTCATGCTGATGCTTTCAGGTCTCGTCCAAGGGACAATGGCGACAGGAAAGAACTTATTCTCACATATCATCCTCATAATCTCATAACCAAACATGTTTTCTTTAAAAACGGCGCCATTCTCTTCGTCAACCCTGACACCTATGACATATCTCTTCCACGCCTCTCATTGTTTTGAGACATGATAAAAATCTACGAGACGTTCTTGTGCATAGTCGCTTCCACGCTTTCCCCTCCCACTGTAGGCAAAGCCATGTGGATGCAGCCATTGCAACACTTGCCCTTTTGTCATCCAAAATTTCCTGTTTAATTTTTGTGTCTTTTCTCATGAAGCCTAAACATATCTTGTTCCAATATTTATTTACTTCAAATTATTTCTTGTTCATCCATACTTAGTTAAATGATTAAGTTAGTTATATAGAAAAATATTAAATTACCAATTTCTGAAATTTTGTCATTGTTAGAAAAAAAAACCCAGTTAAATGGGAACATTTTCTAAAATGTATAAAAACTTGACTCAGAATTAGAAAATAGATTTTTATTTTGGAATCTGCAAAATTACAAAGCAACCAAAGGTTGTTTTTTTAACACTGTTTTTTGGTTATATCATCATTAACTTTCAATGAATAAAATATACAAATATTTTGATAATGTAACGGACTATGTTTTCACATGAAAACAGAGAGGTAGCATGAGTGAACAGTGAATTGTGTTGACCATGTATTTTGAGAGGACAATGTGAACTCCACGTTTTTGTAGAGTAAAATTATGTTTTTGTCAGAGCGGTTGTTTTCCACGCTTTGCTGGTAATAAAGTATGAGTGAACTGAGATAGTGAGAGCTGAGCGCAGAGCAGTAGAGAACAGTAGCGTGAGAGCTGTGTGATTAGACAGTTGACAGTTTAGTATGAGGACGTGTCTTTCTTAATGATGGAATACTATAGATATATATGTGAAATTACATTCATGCAAGGATTATTTATTAATATTATCAATATAAAGTGTGTTCAATAAAGTATTGTAAGTTGAACCAGGATTCAGTATTCTTATTTGCGTGCCCGGATTATAAGTGGAAGAATGAAGAAGCCTTAGTCGGCATCCTGAAATATCAACATAACATAAGTAACCATACTACTGACATAACCCACAGCATAAGAAATAAGCTCCCACGCCATGTCAGAGTAGACGTGTTACAAATGGTGTCAGAAGCGGTGTAACGACGATGCGTTACAAATATTGTAAAGAAGTGTCAGAAATGTGTTACAGAACATTGAGTAACAACGATATATTTTAAAATTCGAGCGGAAGAATACAGCGAACGCCATTACGACCGTGTATCAATCAAGTCCGAGACGAGTTCACTACACACAGAGCTAGCCGACAATTGAGGTCAGTCACAGTCTCCAGAGTTCAGAGTTCAAACAGTCAACTGGTACACGGCAACTATTTAACCTACTTAGCGGAGTGAACACACCCAGTTGCAGAAACACAGAAGCACGAAATCTATTTTAGAATAACTACAAAGAGGTAAATAATAATAGACTGAACAATCAGCTTAAAGGAAATTTTCAAGTTATCTACAACTGTAGCAAAGATTTACTGTAAGCCTACATATTACAAGACCAACAGAAGTCTGACGTTATTACAGATGAGATGTGTGTATCAAGACATCGAAAGTAAGATTTCCCCAGCATAATCTTCACTTTATACAAGCCGCACAAAGCCTAGTGCGCAATTCAAGTAAAGTAATTCTTTAATTACTCACAAGTTCAACTGAGTCGGAGAGAAAGTACACTATTTCCAATTGGATTATTACACTATTACTTCTATTACGCAAGGTACTTGCATTGGATTACTGAAGCAGTTTGTGTTGTAACTTTTTCATTGGATTATACAACTTTTGCATTGGAGTATTTACCCAAGTACACTTTCTACATAGAAGGATTATCGACTACACAGAGATCATAGCGTCACAGAGGATCAGAGGTGACCAACTACAGATTTCTTTTGGACACTTTCACTTGGTATTTATGTATATTATGTGTTATGTATTATATATAATTTAACACTTTAAAAATCTACTTATATCATACTTAATTAGATTAAGTAAATTTTTTTACTTTTTCTGTATATTATAAGTTTAATTTTAGAGTATACTTTAGGAATATCCACGGTGTTATCTTTCCTAGGGAAGTTTTTTTATTAAAACAGTAAAGGTTTCTTCTGGCCCTATTTATAACACTGTAGGATAATTTTATGTTAGCTGTGAAGTCTAGTTTGTACATTGTCATAACTGTTGTTTTTTAGTATATCTTGTCAGATTTGTTCTATTTGTCTTGTCATTGTCATACATATTGTCAACCTACTGTCATATTTTCTACTATCTTGTGGTCCATAAACTAAACAGTACTTTTGTATTTGTTGTCTCATTTGTATTCATGTAAACGTCTACATATCTGTATTTATGTTGTGAAGTAGACAATTTAATTATTTTAAATTTTTCTTACACTTATTTATAACTTATAATTCATGTATCAACTTGCATTTGTGTATACATTCATTAACATGTAAATATATGTAATATTGTAAACTATTTTAATTAATAACTAAAGAATAAGGAGATAACTGATATACTGATACATACCAATATAATTTTAGTTACTCACATTATAACTAAAAATGGCAGAGTACTTAGAATTATTAGAAGTAGGTGAGAAGCTTGGCTTGAAGCAGGAGAAATTAGCTGACTTCGTAACTCGTGAGATGGACAAAATTAGGGACAAACAGAAAGAAGACAAAGACCGACAAGACAAAGACAAAGACCGAGAAGCTAGAATGTTAGAGAGAAGCGACCTTAAACAAATAGAAGAACTAAAATTAAAAGGACAAAAGGAAATAGAAGAACTTAAATTAAGAGAACAGGATATGAAATTAAGAGAGGAAGAAATAAAACTAGAAAGAGCTAGAATAGAATCAGGACAGCATACACCATCAACAAGCAATAGAGAAACCAATAGCACATATAAACCCAAATTTAGAGAATTTAATGAACATAAAGAGGAAATTATTAGTTATTTGTCACAATTTGAGGGCATCTGTCAGTCTTACAATTATAGAGAAGAGACTTGGGCTAATATTTTATTGAGCAGATTATCAGGGAAAAGCCTAAGTATTATTAATTCACTCAGTGAAGAACAAAAGAATAATTATAACTATATAAAGAAAGTTTTGTTAAAGTTCTATGGAAACACAGAAGACATTTATAGAAAAAATTTCCACAACATAAGACTAGAGAGAGAAGTAGATCCTAACACCACCATATTCAATATTAGAGACAATCTTGTCAAATGGCTTGAATTAACTGAAATTGACCTAAATGATCCAAAAGCATTACTGGATATGTTTATCATAGACAAAATATTAAGAAATGCATCAGTCTCTTTATTTTCATTCCTTAAAGAGAGAAAGATTAAAAATGAGCGTGAGTTAGTTGACTCAATCACAACATTTAAAGATGCTCACCCCAATGAAGAGCTAGACAATAGAAACAGCACACTAGCCTCTATTAGAAATACACCCAGTGATAGGGACAGTCAAAAACAAAACACATATCAAAACAGAAGATACCACAGCCTACCTGCCAGATGGCAAAACAATAAATTTCAGAAAAGTCATCAAAACAATTACCAGACACCATATACTAATTATTCAAACAACAACAAATGTTTCTACTGTGGCATTCCAGGTCACAAAAAATATGAGTGTAGGAAATTACATAGAGATTTAGGACATTCACAACAATACTATCAGAGAACATCACCCAACAGTAGTCCAATTAGATACAACAGTGCAAATAGGAGTAGACAACAATATAGAAATCAACCAAGTGATCACCAGAGACACAACACCAATCAAACAAATAGTAGACACAATCAGAATACACCGCATGAAACATCAGCTAGTATTTATCACACTGATGGAACACTCAAATTTTCACCAGCAATTGTAAACAATAAAGTAGTTAAATGTCTCAGAGACACTGGTTGTACAACAATAATTGTAGACAGAAAATTAGTAAATGACAACTACTACACAAATGAAAAAGCCATAGTTATCTTAACCAACAATAATAGAATAGTATGTCAAAAAGCTAGAATCAAAGTTGATTGTCCATGGATCACAGGATCTGTAACAGCTGTTGTAATGGACAATCCAGTGTGTCCATTAATTATTGGCAATATAAAAGAACTAGGCAATAACAATAAGGATCTAATAACAGAAGGGATAAGAGGAAGACATTTTAACATGAATCCAACACATAGCATAACAAGACAACATAACAAAGGAATTCTTAATAAAACATATACAGAACAAAAATCAGACAGGGCAAACCACCTTTTTAGACTCAATTCAAGAAATATTCATCAACAATACAGACAGGCTGAATAATTCAAAAATGAAATCAAACACAGAGAAAACAAGTTTCTAGATGAACATTACACAACTACAAATAACAATTTTATGGAAAGAGACAGACAAAGAGATAACAGATCACAATTGTCATTTTCTTCAGTGCGGAGAAATACTTAACATTCCATGTTAGCTAACCTAGCATAATACTTTCTGCTAAAACAATGATTAGCTGTCAAGAGCAAAATTTTTTCAAATATGGTAATTGTCTACACAGAACTAATTTGTAAATTGTTTACATTCTTGGTCATCAACTTTTTCATAGACAATGACAATAAAATTAAGGTTAAATTGAGCATGAAGAGCATTAAAATACACATTCAACCATTTTTTGACAAGACACTTGTACATATCAATTTTGTAAATGAATATCAGATTTTAACCAATTGTAAATCTTCTAATGCAAAATTTAAGATTGTTACATTCATTTTGCAGTGTTTATTATTCATTAAGATGTTAATGTCACTTCACATTATCATACATAAGGATTTTAAGAGGTTGTCATTGGTGATTTTTTAATTTTTTGCCAGGGTAAATGATTCACTATTATGTGTGATATTAACAGTCAAATGCCCTGTATTTCATAATGATGAAATGTTAATGTTGTTACATTTATTTGATTGATAGATGTGGGATTGAAAATTTCTAAGAGACATTATCATTATCTCAGCATATAATTTTTTGCCAAAAATTTTGTTGCACAAAATTTTTTCAGATGGGTGGGGCATGTAACGGACTATGTTTTCACATGAAAACAGAGAGGTAGCATGAGTGAACAGTGAATTGTGTTGACCATGTATTTTGAGAGGACAATGTGAACTCCACGTTTTTGTAGAGTAAAATTATGTTTTTGTCAGAGCGGTTGTTTTCCACGCTTTGCTGGTAATAAAGTATGAGTGAACTGAGATAGTGAGAGCTGAGCGCAGAGCAGTAGAGAACAGTAGCGTGAGAGCTGTGTGATTAGACAGTTGACAGTTTAGTATGAGGACGTGTCTTTCTTAATGATGGAATACTATAGATATATATGTGAAATTACATTCATGCAAGGATTATTTATTAATATTATCAATATAAAGTGTGTTCAATAAAGTAACAGTTGACAGTTTAGTATGAGGACGTGTCTTTCTTAATGATGGAATACTATAGATATATATGTGAAATTACATTCATGCAAGGATTATTTATTAATATTATCAATATAAAGTGTGTTCAATAAAGTATTGTAAGTTGAACCAGGATTCAGTATTCTTATTTGCGTGCCCGGATTATAAGTGGAAGAATGAAGAAGCCTTAGTTGGCATCCTGAAATATCAACATAACATAAGTAACCATACTACTGACATAACCCACAGCATAAGAAATAAGCTCCCACGCCATGTCAGAGTAGATGTGTTACAGATAATAAAGCAGATAATGTCAAACATTGAAATTGGGCAATTTACACAGAAAGGGCAAATGTAAAAAAAGAAATGTAAATTACACAATTAAAAAAAAATAATTTTTAACATTATTCTTTGGTACCCTTTTTAGACTTGTCCTTGGTGTTATTTGGGACTATGATTAGTAAAATTGCATGGTCTAGATTGCATGAGGTTGGATTGATAAAATTTATGTAAGTTCTCTTTTGCTCAATTGGGATGTTATAATGGGGTTTTGGATGTTCCTTATTTGAATGGAAAATGTATCAGAATTACCCACATTGGGTGTATGTAAAATGAACGTTGTTTCATGACTTGCGTTCTACACTCCTTTCCTGTAATGTACACTGGTATAAAAATGTCATGGTCAAATGGCTAAAAAAAATTCTGTTTTGATACATAATTACGTGCAAAAATAGCAGATTCTAAATCTTGGTTTTTGTGGTTAAATTCTAGCAACTAGCAAGTAAGAAACCAGTTTCTGAGTTTTTAAAATAAATCAAATGTATATTAATTTGTTGTCACAACCTTGGAGATTTAAGATTTTAAGTCTTTAAATCCTTGACTAAACCCATTGTGTAAGCTGCCAACATAAGTTTTGTTTAAAAACAGAAATGTCCCTTTGCACTTTCTTCTGTTAAGGAAATTGTGTTTTTTTTATTGTACTTTTTGTGCCAGTGAATTTGTTTGCTTCACTTGTACTATATAAAAGAAAACATGTGATGATCTTATCCAAGAAAAACAGTATGGTCAATATAGGAAATATTCCATTAAATAGCTAGTTGTTTATATTTAATTGATCGATCATAATTATAATATTTTCACAGGCATAAAAATGACAAAATTGAAATGTTGGTTGGTTGTATAGCAGAGCTTACAGGAGAAGAGGAAACCCAGCTTTTGAAGCCGGGAGAAAATGATTTCAGTGTCATGTATTCCTGCAGAAAAAATTGTGCCCAGCTGTGGTTAGGCCCTGCATCTTTTATTAACCATGACTGTCGGCCCAATTGCAAAGTAAGAATGAATTTACGCTTCAGACTTTAACTCATAAGTGCAACCATTCATTCATCTTTAAGAGCTCAATTATGGATTTAAAAAAAACAATGTTTCTCTTCAGTGTATCCCATTACTACGTGCATTATGACTTCATATTCAATTTTATTCTTTAGCCATTGTTACTCTTCACTTAACTGTTTGTTCAAGTTATTTATTTTATATATAAATAAAAAAATCGACCCTGACATTGAAATTTTGTGTAATTTATCTCAAAAGTGTCACTATGAATAGAAAAAAAATAATATAATTTGTTTTGGAGAAATAAGGTATATTAATACATGTTTTATGACATTTGTTTTCTAAATTATTGAAAAAGTATTTGTTTAAATTGTATTTTTTTCACTCTTCATCAACTAATACGTATTTTTTGCAACCTCTAATACTAGTTTGTATCTACTGGAAGAGACACTGCATGTGTGAAGGTTTTGCGCGATATACAGCCAGAAGAAGAGATTACTTGCTTCTATGGTGAGGATTTCTTTGGAGATAACAACAGCTCTTGTGAATGTGTTACATGTGAAAGGTTAGTAATATTTGGTCACCAGTACTGTTTCTAATGATTAAATTCAATTGAATGAGGCAGATACTTTTTTTTTTGTTGCCATACAAAAATGTTATTTATTCATTTAGTTTTATTAAGGGGTCATACATAAAGGACGTCTGCAAAGATAGTGGGGTTCGTAAAAATGTGGACCACTGCGGACAAGGGGGAGTTAAGGATCTTGCAGGCATCCGCAAGCTATCATTTTTTGTAATTAGTAATATGTTGCTTTAGGTCCACTCCGTGTATTCCATGTTAAAAGTTGTAAGTTGCGGACATCCTCCCTGAATTATTTATTTGAAAAACAATTATAATCTAAACCCACCAAGAAGTTAGTACCAAGAAGTTAGTAAAAACTTCGTGAGGCCAACCACTTAAATATTTATCAACAAATTTAAACAATATGAGTTTGGGCTTTTTAAACATTTTCTCTACTTCTCAGGTCTGATTGAAAGATTTTCTATAAGACTTAATTAGACGTTTAAATCTAGTGATTCAGCTCTTCATAATTGTTATTAAACTTCCTGGCTTTTTTTCTGTATAAACTTTAAATGGGCATTTTCCCCTGGTGAAAAAGAATCTAGGAAAATAAAACCATTTTTATGGATCAGGACTAAGCTTTACCTTTTTTGATTTTGTGTTCAATGACAAAGTATTATTACTTTTTGGTGGCAAAAAAAACATACATCAAGGACAAATTGTTAATCCTCTATTACTGTTCATTAAAATTGTGCTCCAACAATGTATTATTATAATTATTATTACTGCCTGTCACAATAACAAAGACTTAAAATTAATAAAATACATGATATTCTATTAACAGGCGTCACATGGGGGCTTTTAGACTCAAACAGCCTGTTAATCTATCATCACAGAAGGGATATTGCTTTAGGGATACAGATGACAGGATTAACAGACTCAAAGATAAACCACCCGAAAGCCAGTCCAACTTTGCAGGGGTGGTTGTCACCCTTAGTGGTAAATTATAATTATACTAGTTATCATTTGCAATAATGTTCCATTTTTATAGCAAAATATTTGATTATGGAAATCTAATTATTTTATATATTTTAACTGGATATAAATAAAAATATTTTTTGCAGGTAATCAGTTCTTTAACAAAAACTCACTACCTGCAAAAACTTAAATTTAATCTAATTACAAGTATTTTTCTAGCTGCCATTTTAAATGAAGAAAATTCTTCTTTTCATTCCTAGAATCCTGGGACAGCAGAGCTAAAAACATGGAATCACAGTCTCATCTTCTGACACCAGCAGAACTGAAGAAACGAGGAATAACCCGCTACGATGCAGAGATTATTATATCAAATGGTTTACCTTTACCAGATCCAACAAACAGTGTCAAAACTCAGGTCATCTCTGGAAATGGCAGCAAAACTGTCTCAAAGACTAAATTTCTCCGCAGCTCAGCTTCGCCTGTGAATAGAAATGATTTAGAAACATTTAAGCCACCACAGAATATACGATTGGGGTTGTCTAGAAAATCTAGAGATTCATATCATTATAGTCCAGGTAAGCGAAGAAGTACGAGAAAAGTGTTTGTGAAAAATGATATCAATCATGCCACTGAAGCTCTGCTCATCAAGCAGGAACCGCCAGACTCTGATTACGAATCTATTAGTAAAAAACTGGGTCTTGATGCTTTATCTATAAAAGAGAAAGTTAATAATTTCTCTACTCCACCTCGAAAGAAGATAAAATCTGAATTAAATTGTGACCCTTCTTCTGATGATGGCTATGAGTATACAGACGCAGAGCTGCGTAGCCATAACCTTTCTGACTTTTTAGATAACTCTCCAAGTTTGAAAAGATACAAGGACAAGAAAGCCAGTGAGCTAATTAGCCCCGGTCGACTAAGGGAACAACGAATGATAGAGACATCATCAGACAATTGTATACCACCTCTCATTCCTATAGACGAACATCAAGCCCAGTCAAAACAAAAAGGTAATATTTCACCCCTTAAAGCTAATTTAAAAAGTGCTTTAACACCTGTTAGGCAAAGTCCTCGACTGCATAGCGGACAGCAAAGACCTCTTCCAGATCCAAAGAATTATATATCTGGGAAACATGAACAAGCTGTTCACCTAGCTAAAGAGTTAAATTCTCTAGTAGCTAAGGCCTCAACGTTTGCTCAACGCCTAACAGATCTTGTGATGGAGACCGGCCTCACTGATGGTGGTCAGTCATACCAAGATCCACCTGTGCTAGAACCAGAGGCTCCCATCATTTCCCCATCGGTCTCCAGGCGATCGTCAGAGGACAGTATTGATAATCTATTTTCTAGTATTTTAGAAACTTCTGCCCCCGACTTGCATTTAACTCACCGCAGATCAAAATCAGTAGATGAAGACCTTTCCGACAGTGGACACAATAAACCTTATAACTTAATGGACCACTCCAGAAATGGAGATCTCTTTTCCAAATCGGATGGATTTAGGTATCGCAGGAGAAACAGCACAGATGAATTTGGAAAACCTCCATTGTTATTGATGAGAGATAACTTTGATAGTGGCAAAACCGAAGTACTAGCCAGAATGGATCTTCACCCGTCACCTTTAAATAATCATTACCATGTAAGAGAGGATGTATACTTAAAACAGGGGTCCAAAATGGACATTGATGAAAATAGGTCACAGGTCCGAAGCTGCCGGCAACCCAAAATAATTTTTAGAATGAAAAGAGATCCAGAGCTAAAGAAGCAAATTCGGGCGGAGAATGCCAACAGCACTAATTCTAATTTACAGTTTAAATGGGAGGATGACAGTGATGGCGATCCTGGGTTTTCTCCGCCCCACAGAGGGGCATGCATCACACCATCCAGAGATCACAAGGCAATGGGAGCCAGCAGTGGCGGTGCTAGCTGTAGCAGTAACGTGAGTGCGACAAGCAAAAACATTTTTGAAACCATGGGCCTGAAACACTCTGTGTCAGTTGAGCACAACTCTGAACCTATAGTACCTCCCTCTAAAGTAAGCCCCCTTAAAAAAGTAAGAAAAGTGCGCCTAAAGATGATTGACACATCTTTACACTTTGATCTCATTTCACCCTCAGCTAGCCCACCTAAGAGCTCTTAGTAGTTAATATTTATATAGGTTGAGTAAATTTTGTTGTGTGACACCCTACACCCCTCTCTCACCCCTAACTTTAACACCCCCCTCCCCACGTCAGCTTTGAGTCAAGTCATAATGAAAGAAGTTAACACGTAAGAATATATTTTTATGCTAAAAGTTATACAGCTTTCTTAGTACTGGTAATATTGATGTGAGAAACGGAAGTCAGTTGTTTTTTTCCCCTCTCATTGTTTAAATCGGCTGATTTTTCATTTCTTTGGTAACACACAGAAGGCTCGTATTAATATATTGCTGATTAGAGATGTCTTCAGCCAAAAGTTTAAAAAATTTAATTTGACTAAATACCACTGCCGTTTAAAGGAAGTTAGATTTTCTAGAAATGCAGAATTATTTTAATAATTGTGTTTCTTGGTTGACTTTCAGCTTACTGAGTAACTTATCAAACTGTGGATAATTATATATAAATGATTCTGATAGTTTAATTATTTATTGACTGGTAAATGGCTATTTTAAAATTAATAAGGCTTATTTTGTTTTAAGTAGAGAAAAATTAAATCAATATTTAACAAAATAATTACCAAAGTACAGTGAAGCTGATGACATGAATTAACACTAAATTTTTTAATGAACTGGAATCACACACAATTTTCACCAAAGTTATTTTAACCATATGTGATTCCTGATTCTTATCCCACCTGGGCACACAAATTAAGTAAGTTAAACATTGATTAAGAATGGTAGTTTATTTTTAAGTATTTATCAAACCATACTTCACCATGGCACACCACCATTAAAGGCATATATTTTGTATCCAATTAATAGCACACCACTTGTTGTGGCATGGAATAGTATAGCTTATAATATTTATTGCACTAAGATGTGATGTTACTATGCTAATGTTATAATTATGCTCTAAGAACATAATAAACAACTGGGAAGTAACTATTTAACAAAGGCATGCATGTCAAAAAAGAAGTAAAATTACTTTTGTTTATTCGATAAATGTCTGTATAATGAATATTTTTTTACAGATCACAATTTGAAATGTAAGAGGTGCCTGGAGACAGACTTTGTAAATATATTTTTTGGGAACATTTTAATATTTACATTTGTTAAAATAAAAATTTTTTTAGGCGACAGACATAGTTTTTAAAAAGAATAATGTCTAGACCTTGTACATTTGTATTGTGAGTCCGTGATACTATTTGAAGTTTTACTACTAACATAAATACTCAAAAATGTAATGCTGTTAAGTGGTATTCTTCAAACTTTTCATTCAGTATGCTCTGATCAACTTTTAAACTTAGAAAAGATAATACATGATTAGTTAGAATCTTTGTTTTGCTTTATTTCTGTCACTGCGTGTTCCCTTTTCAAAACTTTTCCATAAGTATTTTTTTCTAGAATGATATACAAGCACCTAGATATAAGTCTGTTAAAATAATCTAAATTGCTTTCCATTTTTTTTTTCTATGTAACTCGACATCTATTAAATATTTTCCAACAATAACTAAAAGTATTCAAAAAGTTTTTTATTTGAATTTAGTATAAAAATTGAACCCATAAAATAAAGGCATGATTTAGACTTAGGTGTCCAAGAAGATTTATTAGAAAGGAATTAGCAAGTAGTTTTCGTAAAAAATATTAATTGGAACTGTGTGTTAAGGTAAAGTAGTTTGTTTTCTCCATCTCGAAATCAAACATGAGCATTTTAAAAATTTTTGAATGAGTTTTGCGTTTATCAGATAATAAAATATTGCTTTTGAAATGCCACTGTGAATTTTATAGATTTTTTTGCGCATCTTATCTTGTTTCAAAAGAGCTCTAAATTGTGTGTATTAAGTTGCTTAAGATGTATACAATTTAAAACAATTCCATAGTTTCTTTTAGTTTTTCGTGTGCCCATGTTAAAACTTAAACAAAAATTTTTGGAGGAAACTCTTTCTACAAAGAAATATGATCATAATGCACTCAGACCACAAGGTCTACTTAAGATTAAATCAGTGTCTGTGGTAAAAATTGAAAAAAAGATTATTATATATGTCTTTTATTTTTGTTTTAAAGTTTCATTTACTTTTCAGTTAAGTTTAGATCAGTTTTAAAAGAATAATTCTTGAACACATAAGCAGACATGGCTTTGTTATTTGGAAGTTCGACTTGCATGCAGTTCTAATTTATTTACCAATGATAACATTCAAATGTGTTGATTGGCATGCTTATACTTTTTACCACTGCTGATAAGTTTTCATCGTTATTCCCTGACACCAAGGATCAAAGGGTAGTTTTGAGGACAATAATATATACTTATTTAACCCTTATCCCTTTTAAACATAGAATCTCTAAGTTGGTCTGCGTTTACTTGCACTTGCCCAAAATATATTTCAAAATATGTAAAATTCAATGTTCATGTTGTGTGATTCAATTCATGTAGTTAAAATTTTGTGTTAATTTTTTTTTTAATGGAAGATGGTAACTCAGCTATTTTTATTTATGTAATCAACCCAATTTAAAAAAAAATAAATTTTGCCATCCTCTTGTTTGCTAGAACATATTGTTCATGTTAAGAATTTTAAATTGCTGTAATTTTGCATGCTACTTTATGAAATTTTAACTATTTTTTGTGTGTGTATGAAATGAATAATTCCCTTTAAAAAAAACAAAAACTTTTACACTTGGCTCTCTTTAGTGTTTCAGTTTTGATAGAACTTAACTATAATAGAATATACACATTCTTCTTTACTCCTAATAAAACTAAAGCATTTAATAAATGATTTTAAAAAATTCAATTCACAATGCAGGAAGAATTCAGTATTTTTTTCTTCTGGTATTTTATAATGTGGAAGTAAATGAAATAAAAAAAAATTTTGTTATAGAATTAGCTCACTAAAATAAATTCAATGCTTTCAGGAGTAAAGCTTATCACCTTTTTAAAGCCTCCAGTTTATTATTTGTTTTGTTGAGTTTAAAAAACTAATCCTTTTTGGGGTGGGGAGGGGAGGGGTATTAGATTTTACCAATTTTCTTTTAAACCTATAAAATAAGATCGACCCATCATTTATTTGAAGTGATTGTGGGACCAAAAAGGACATTCCTTTTGACATACTCAAACCAAAAAAAAAAAGTGAATATTTTTTATCTTCACATTTTTGGTATCACTTCATCTGATAAATGTAAGTAGTGTTAAATATTTACTGTGCTGTGTTAAATGTAAAATCAACTAAGCACTCTTGTGTACTAAGATGGCAATGGATTGAATTAGAATGAAGCTTTCTTTACTAGACACACAAAGCTTTAACTTCAACAAATTATTTACCCACTCACGTACAATTTTTTTTTATCAACATCCAATTTCAATAATGTTGTGAATATAACACCTGAAAGTCTTTATTTACCATCAACTATTTAAACCTTTTTTCAGAAAAGAAGAAAGCTAATTATTGTATATATATATATATATATACTGTATGTACTAAAGTAGATGTAAATAATATTTTTATGAACGGTGGCTATATATTTTTGTGTGGTTTAGCTATGTAAATCAATGCTTGTGTGCCTCTAATTTCTAATGTTTTTATTCATATTCATCCTATTAACCTGTGATTTTTTATTATAATATATGTTCATTTTGAACATATATAAATAACTAGCAGCATTGATATTATGTACATTAATGAGCAAGGGCAGAGGGAATGTTTTGCTGTTTTTTTTTCTCCATAGGACATGAATAACTCAAATAAGAAATGCACTTGTTTTTTTGTGACATTATAAACTACATCTAGAGCTTAAAATTTTCTTTGAATTACACAAGCCTGTATTATCTGGCCTACTTTGCCATGATTTAGTTGCCTGTCTCTTGACCAAGATATAATGGGTTTGAATTGTGGCTGGGGCTGTCCCCAAATATGGGTCAACAGATAGGTAGAATATATCACTAGCCCTGTAAAGCAGTTTTTCATGGTGAAGAAGTTAACCTTGAGTAAAATACCTTAACCACCAAACTTGGAAGACAACAGCCAACTTGGCATGTAATTAAATTTCTGCAGTTTATGTTAAAAATTGTGGGTAGTTTTACAAGTAAGTTACAGCTGTCCAAATAGAGAAAACTGGTGTCTCTATTTTGTATGGTGTGATTTCACTGGTGCAACACATTTTTTAGAAGAATTTTTCACCATTTAAGTGAAAAATTACATACATATTAATTTATTTAAGAATTGCTACCTAAGTAATTTAGATATAGCTGGTATATATTTTTGAATATAAAATAACCTGAGAATATAATAAATTTGATTTAGTGAAACAATCTTTAAAAATAAACTATTTGCAGATCAATTGATAAATTGTTTAGTATCTTTGATAAACGGTGGATTTATCAAAACTCACAAAGAAGTCATGTTCCAAGGCTGTTTGAACATTTTGTCATGAAATAAATTGTTTGGTGAGGAAGTGGTACCCGTAAATAAAAAATAAAAAAATCAAATTACAAAGACAAAGACATTTTGAAAATAAAGAGATGCTTTTTTTTTTTTATTTTTTTTTTTTCAATTTAAGAGTTAAAAGACAGTCAGAAATATATCTGGGAACTCTCAGAATTGAATTCATAAAAGACTGAAGTGTGTGGCTTAAATTGTATAACAAGCAGGGAGTAAAGTTGTGTTTTTTCTTCATCAGATACCATCACCCAGGTTATTTTAAAGAGCAAATAATTCTAAAAACACATTTTTCAAGAGTCTTATCCAATTAATTGTATTAAAGACATTCAGATGAAGGCATTGGCTTTGTTAATCAATTTAGAAATATATTAGAAATAAATTATTCATAAGATATTGATTCAATTTCTTTTATTTTTGCTTCGGGGAAAATAACTGTCCATGATCTAACCATTTTAGAAAAATGCCTTGATGAGTCAGCCATCAAGATGTCAACTTGGGGGCAGCCCATCTGTTGTTTCAAGGGCGTGTCAACACTATTGATTGCTAAACAACAATAAAACACCCAATGTAACA